ATTTGAGTTATTTTAATACTTCAACAAACTAAATGGAAATGGAATAATATATATATTGAATTTATAAATGTGTGTATATATATATATATATATATATGTGTGTGTGTGTGTGTGTGTGTGTGTGTATGGTTGTACATACACATATATAGTTGTTTTTTTTGGTGTTTGGCTTAGTGTTATGTTAGAATCATTATACTCTTATACCTTTTGTTCTTTAATATTTTTAATAGTTTTTAGCTTTATTTTTATTTTTTCATTTAAATGTTAAGTTTTGAAATTTTGTTGTATTAATTTGTCATTTTTATTTAATTTATTTATTTTTAAAATGTGTATAAGTAGTATTTATAAAGTTTTAGCTTTTAGTTTTGGATCTGTTTTTAGTTGTTTTAATACAATTGATTGCTTCTGTTGTCCTCATTTGTAAGTCACTTTGGATAAAAGCGTCTGCTAAATGACTAAATAAATCAAAATAAATAAAGCAGCACAGCATGACCTCGCCCCCTTTGCTGCCTTTTCCCGAGGGTGGGGTTTATCTGGGTTTGTGATGTCACGAACCTGGGAAGTAACTCGTTGTAGTCCCTTCCAGCCATTTTTGTAGGCATTAAACTGCCAGAATTTTAAAAGACGATATCTCCGTTTGCATTGAACTTTCAGCCTTGTAACTTTGCAGATATTGTTTATGCTCAAACAGCAACATTTCACACTAACTAACGTTAAAAAAGTGAAATCGCAATCAACCACCCCTTTAATTTGTAATAACATTGACAATATGACTGTTTTTACTGTATTATTGATCAAATAAATGGAGTCTTGGTGAGGATAAGAGACTTTCAAATATAGTCAACATTTTTAAACTGTAGTACATGTTCAGTACCATATTAAATGTACTTTCATACTTGAATTTAATGCTTTCATTGCAAAGTCATTAACATTTAAATAGCTATTTACAAAGTACAAGATCATTTGTACGTTCCATTTAATGTTTACTTACAGCTTTATTTTAATTTGGGAGGGTCAATGAAACATTATGCTCAACTTGGGCTTCTTAACTTTAGCTAACTTCAACTTAATATTGTATTTTTCTTTGATGCATATTTTCATAAAAATTAGCTTGTGAGCAAACAATAACTGAAGACCCCTGCTCCAAAACATTCAAAAACAATCTGTTCCAAATTTCCCACTCTGCTACCAGGAGTCGCCTGATCATTAAAGCACTATCTAGGGGTCCTGTAACATGAGACGCATCAAAACTGGTTGAGGACTGACATGACCAGAGCAAAGAAACAGAGGGAAGAGAAAGAAAGAAAGGTGTGTGTTACCATTAGCAATGCCTGCTCCTGCAGTAATTGCTGCTGCAGTATCTCTAACTGCCGCTGCTCTTCCTCCAACTTATGTCTTATAAACTCCTATAGAGAGAGGGATGGAGACAGAGAGAGAGAGAAATGGGGAGCAGTGGAGGAGGAGGAAGAGACGGATCAGAATAGACTCACAAGGATGGAATAAAAATATATTTGAGGGAATGGACAGATACACCTGTCTGTGCAGCCTCTAAAGAAAGAGGCAGACATTTTAAAGAGATGTTTCTGACGGGCTTTTTCAAAATGGCTGAAGACACTTCGATGGAGTGAAGAGATTTATCCCACGCGTTTCATTCACCTTCTGCGCTAGAGCCGTAACGTCACACCACTTTATAATCTTAAAATGGCACGCAGCGAGTGTTTACAAGTGGTTCCTCTCACTCTGAGGAATGTGTTGCGTATGCGGTTGTTTTAAGGAGGACAACTGAAGGAAGTGTGATGTGAGGCATGTCCATGTGAGGTCGTTTTGAAGAGTGTGTCCTGTGGCACATTGTGCACTAATTCATTCTGATTGGTCTTTTGTGTTTCTGTCAGTTTGAATTGTATTGAATGTAGGGCTGCACACGGCTCACCCACACACACACACACACACACACACACACACACACACACACAGCGTTTGAGAGCCTGCTGCCACGGCAACCACTCCACAGACATTCCAGGGCCAGAGCTGTGCTGAGTGGAACACCCACGCTCTGCCGTGATTGGCTGGCTGGCTGCAGCTCTGTGGCTGTGATTGGTTACCTGCTCTCTCTCTGCCATCCTCCTGTCCTCCTCTCGTCTCATGTCATCAAGTCTACGGTGAGGAGCTTTATCCTGTTGCTGCCGCACCATCTCTCTCTCCTTCCTCTGTTGCTGTGCGTGTGAGAGAGGGAGAGTGAGTCACTTTAACATATTTGGCTGAAATAATGAGAGCCTTCCTGTTGCTAAAATCATCGAGTGCTTTTGAGAGGGGAAATTAAGGGGCGAGAACGAGTACCGTAGCCAGAGAAAAGACAGAAATGAGAGAAAGCAAAAGTGACTAAGGCACTGGGCACCATTATGGTGAGAGAGAGGGCGAGTATGGTTATACTGGTGAGTCAGTGCTCTGCGGCACCGTATTCAGTAGGTTAGTGGCTAGATGGTGCTGTGTGCTGGTGTCACCCTGAAGATGGCCTACACACAGTGTTGGGGAAGGTTACTTTGGAAATGTAATAGGTTACAGATGACAAGTTACCCTATTTAAAATGTAATAGTAGTGTAACTTTTTCAATTACTTTATTAAAGTAATGTAACTGATTACTTTTGATTACTTTTCTAAATTTCTAATGAATGTTTTCAAATGTTAATAATTTTCAAACATTTACACCATGCAGGGTTAACCTTACAGCATGTGCTCAGCACTGATTACCGTCAAAATCGTTCATCACTTCAATTAACATGATAAAATTTGAACACATCCACCACAAAATCAGACTTTAGTACTGCCTTTTACTTTGAGATTGCACAGACACACGCAGAACGTGCAGGATTCATATAGTCTTTTTGCGGATTAATATTCACAGACACTAGTCCACATGGCGTTTTGATAAAAATGTACTGACCTACTTTTGATTTATTAATCCATTTATACATTCCACGTTATAGGACTTCCGTTTTTATGACTGGATTCTGTGAACCACTCCGTGTTTTCCGCATCGTGTTTACCGTATGTCTCATATTTTAGAGTAGTCAGTGCAATTTGGGAAAGAAATACATTAAATCTGTATGTTTATGTGTGTAAATATTCAAACGTAACCCCCTTTGTAATCATTAACACTTTCATAAGTAACTAATTTAATTACACATTTTTTCTTAGAAACTGTAACTGATTACAGTTACATTTAATTTGTAATTAAATTACGTAACGCCGTTACATGTAACTAGTTACTCCCCAACACTGCCTACACAGTATGGAACTCTGGACAATAAACCTAAATTCTGACATCCCCAACACAGAAGCAATTTTATTTTATAGTATAATAATTCTTAAACACCTTAAAAGTCTGAGACCACTGGTGAAAATGCTTTTTTTTAATACAATTGTTTTTATTACAAATTATACTATTACAACAGTTAACTCCTCATGTTTGTGTAAAACCGGATGATCATTTCTATTTGAGAAGGTCCAAAGAAGATCTTGTGCTTCAATGGAAGATCATCTGACCGTCTGTACAAAGAGTCACATGATCAATGACACAAAAATACTTATTTGATTAGTGACCTATAAATAGTGCAGAAAAGTATCATCATTATTATTCATTACTGTTGAAAAGTTTGGAGTCGTAAGATTATTAAATATTTTTGAAAGAAGCCTCTTATGCTCAACAATGCTGCAATTATCTGAAAAAAACAGTAAAAACAGTAATATTGTGAAAATATTGAAAATAACAGATTTTTATTTGAATATATTTTAAATATAATTTATTCCTGTGATGGCAAAGCTGAATTTTCAGCAGTCATTATGTCAGTCTTCAGTGTCATTTCCTATTATCAACGATAACAACAATTCTGCTGCTTAATATTTTTTGGATAAATTTAAAGATTCTTCTCAAGGAAAGTAAAAAAAACAGCATTTAATATAATAAAAGTATTATACATAATATAATATGATAACATACATAATTAAAAGTAATTTATTTAAAAAAAAATAAAAAAATCTTACAGACACCCAACTTTTTAATGGGAAATATTTAAGCTCAAAATATTTCTGTTTTATTTTTCTTATATATTCAATATGGTCTCAGATTTTTGTACCCTACTATATTATAGTTATTTTTGCTGTATTCTATAGCCCCCAGCAAATATGTCTTAAACCCACATGGCCTTGATTTAATTAGCTTAGCTGTAAGGGGCTTGACTTTGAGAATCTCTCTTATACTATAAAGGCAGACATGAATATAATGGCTTATGATGCTCAGTACATAACAAATACACACACACTCCTGTGTGTTGTGGCCTATTCATCACCCCATGCCTCACTCAGATAATGCAGTGCTAATCAGCCATTGTGTCCTTTCACAGTCATTCAGTGACAATGACCGCTCAAACTAATTCAATTAAAAGTTTGACTTTGCACAGTATAAAGAGTTCTCACTCATTTACTTTGTTCGCCCCTCTCAAATACAGAAAAAAAAAAAAAAACGAAATTCCACAAATACTTCCTTGTGTTCAGTCTAATGAAGAGAGCCCAGTTCCAGATAAGAGAAAAATGTTCAGCACTTCAAACAAACACTGCTGTAAAACTTCTGGCTCTGAAGTATGTGTTTTATTTAAAACGTCATGGAATATTCTAGGACAGGAGATCTAAAATCTAAAATACCTAAATGATTAAATCACCAAACAATGAAAATGGTGTCTTTATTTACTTATGTCATTCTGAACCTGTACCACTTTTCAAGAATACACTTTTTTAAGTGTCATTCAAGTCATATGATAGCTTTGAATGATGAATAGATCAGGATTTAAGTCATTTTGTAGTTTGACCGTCCTTGTCATTTATTCATTTTCATTATAATGAAATAATTGACCAAGATATTCTTCAAAAATTCACATTTGCACTCCATGAAGGAAAGGAAGTGAAGAGTTTGGAGCATCATTTCTGGTGAACTACCACAATAATCTTTACAAAAAAAATTATTTGGCAAGTATGTTTATACTGACACCTTACATGATTGGCACTCTGCCCTTGTCATTTCCTGTGAGTAAAGAGATCATGTTCAGTTGCATCAATGTGCACGTGTAAGCATGTGTACCTCCTCCAAGCGACGCCTCTGTTCTTTCTGCTCCTCTATCCGTTTCTGTCGGTCATGCAGCAGCTGGCGTTTGTGCTCCTCAGGGTCTCTGCGCTGAGCGGCAAGCTGTGCCTGCTGTCTCTTTAAGGCCTCTGAGCGCTCCTTATTCTCCTGCTGCAGCCGCAGGAAATCCCTCCGCAACGTCGACTCACCAGGAACATTCAAAATAGAGCTTCAGACAGACATAAACAGAAACCGAGAAGAGTTAGCTGTTATAAACATAGAGTAGAGGTTGGGCAGTGAAGACAAAGTTCTGTGGTTTTCAAGGAGGATTGTACAGTACGTTAATTTCTCTCTCAGTTACATCAGTGTCATGTATGCATGTGCAAATGAGTAAAAGGATTGATCCTTGTTGAATGATATGGTAAAGCTTTAACGGAGCATTACGAAGAACCATCTATACAGATACAACAAATCCATTAAGGGTGATGGTGTAACTTCTGCCCCAAAGCATCAAACACAATTACAAAAATAACAATTGTTTAAAAAAAAAATAGCAGTTGTCATGTTTTGATGAACAGGAAAGTCCCACCACAAACAAACAAAAGCTTACTTATACTTGACTCATTCAGACATGTACAGACAAGTCCAATTCAAGTCTCAAATCTTTTCTCCCAAGTAATTGTTTTAATCAAAAGATAATTTAATTCAAGTAGTCTCATGTAAGTTATGTACTAGTTCAAGTAAAGTCTCAAATCAGATATCTACTAGTTTGTCAAGTCTCATGTCAGTTATAAACCAGTTTAAGTCAGTTTACATTAAACTGGGTTAGGAGAGTGTGTTTAAACATCATAAAATGTACACACATCACACTGTTAATTTAGTGAGTTAACACAAAATGTCAATAACATTGCAATTCAAATCTTCCCAGGGGGAGCTTTTGCAGTGTTGTGTAGTGCTATGTAGGGTTGTTTAAACAGATGCTGCTGTGTTTACCTGGATTCTCGCTCATCTCCTCTGTTCTCATCCTCTTCATCACTACCGCTGTACTCATACTCGGTCTCCTCTGAGAGGAATCAAGACAAAATGAGAAAGAGAGAGACAGAGAGAGGGAGAGGGAGAGGAGGGCAGGAAAATAACGAGAAAGGCTTTAGGCATTAATATAATATGGCTAAACACAGTTTATGCAGACTGCAGCACTTAAGAGTCTAAATCATCTGCACTCTTCTTTAACTTATACTGTATGAGCTCTAATAATACTGCTGAAGGCTGCTGGCTGGATGCTTTCGATTTTTAGCTGTTCCTCATTCTTCATATCCAGAAATAAACATAATCCAAGCCCAGCTGTGCTATCTGATTATACTACTGACCACAGATCTAAAGAATTGCTCTAAGCTACGTGAGTTATGTACAAGCACCACTTTTGTGGTCCAAGTCAAAGATGAGCTCTGATTGGATGGGAGTTTTAGTGAACTCACTGCACAAAGGCAAGTAAACAAACTTTATTAAACATTCTGTTCCACCACAAAACTCCAGTGAGCAAATGGATGGATACATATTAGGGGTGCAACGGTTCAACTTACTCACGGTTCGGTTTGTATCGCGGTTTTAGAGTCACGGTTTCGGTACGGTTCGGTATGTGCTATGTTCAGGGAAACAACTATATTGTCAAATAAAAATAAAGAAAATAAGAACAAATAATCTAACTACAAGCAACAGCACAAATAAATAA